CATAGACTAAGGGAGTTCTTTCAGGCTGTCAATAGATAAACAATATTCCCAAAGTTTTCTGGGCGTACCTGAAGAAACAAATGGAAGACATCCAAAATAATGCCCTAACTAACTTTATAAAGCAAGAATTACCTCGATTCTAAACTAGATAAGGCCAGTGTAAGATAGTAAAATTACATGTAATGCACAGAAAGGGTAATGCACCAAGGACAGTTTGACTCATTCTAAGAATATAAGGTTTGCTCAAAATTAGAAAACCAATCAACATAATTGATCAAAGTAGCCATTTAAGTGGAGAAAATCTAACAGGATCATAGTATTTGGAAAAAACAAACAAACAATTTGTGACAAAAAGTCTTGGTCAACTAGGGATATAGGAAAAGACATATTCTTAACATGATGAAGACATCCATAAAATATGCAGAACAAAATCATGCTTTATGGAAATATAAAGACATTCCATTTAAAATAAGGAACAAGTCAAGGATGCCTACTATCATAATTATTATTCAGCAATGTACTGGAAGTCCTAGGCTATGCATTAAATAACAATAACTACAAAAAAAGGTGTACAGATTAGAAAGAAACAAATGAAACTATTACAATTCACAGATTATCATCTGCCAGGAAAATTCAGAAGACTCTACAATGAAATAATAAGAATTCTTGAATTTTACAAGATTGGCAAATAGATGATAAATTTACAAAATTTCAACCATAACCAGAAATAGTTACAAAACACAATTTTAGAAAAGATACCAATCAAAATAACAAAAAAAGATACCTGACAATAAATCTAACAAGAGACATCCAAGAACTTCATGGAGAAAATTGTAAGTTTTGATTGAAAAACATTAAAGGAGAATAGATAAATGGAGATATATACTGTAGTCATAAAGAGAAAGACTCAATATCACAAAAGATGTAAAATTTCCATAAATTAGTCTATAGACTTTGTACAAGTCCAAACAGCAGAAGTAATTTTTGTTTAACTTGATAATGTGATTCTAAAATTTATGAGAAAAGTCAAGTATCAGCCAAGACTGAAGTAAAGAAGTAGGCTGGATGGTTTGCTCTTCCAGATTTTAAGGCTTATCATGTGAGGACACAGCAAGAAGTAACCCAGAAAGAGAACCCCACCAGGAGGAAAAAAAAAAAAATCTGTTGGCACTTTTGTCTTGGACTTCCCAGCTTCCAGAACTGTATGAAATAAATGTCTGTTATTTAAGCCACCTAGGTTATGGTATTTTGTTACATCAGCCTGAACTGACTAATACAGGGTGCCTATACTGCAGAAAATTTCATTCTGGGTGGATTAAAATAATAATTGGGAAAGGCAAACCTTAAAACTTCTCATAGAAAATATTGGTGAAATATCTTTATGACATAGAGTAAAAAGGATTTCTTAAATAAGACATAAAAGTGTTAATATACAATGAAAAATATTTATATATTTTATGACATTAAATATAAGAAGCTCAATTTATCAAAAGACAGCATAGAATGAATACAAAGACAGCCATAAACTGAGAATTGATGTTTGTAAAACACATAACTAACAAAGCATTTGCATTCAGACTATTTAAAGACCCTGAATGAGTCAATAAGGAAAATAAAATAGAAAATGGTGCTGAGTAAGCATTTCACAAGAAAGAAAATATAAATGACTAATACACATATCAAAAGATGATGAACTTTTGCAACTGAGGAAATACCAATAATGTATCATTTTACATACACACACATATCACACATATTAATCGGTGTCATGAATTGCAAGAACTGGTGAGAAAGCGAAGTATTAAAAATTGCCACATAGCCGGGCTCGGTGGCTCAGCCTGTAATCCCGCGCCTTTGGGAGGCTGAGGTGAGTGAATTGCCTGAGCCCGCGGGTTCGAGACCCGCTTGGGCAGCGAGACCTCATCTCTACAATAAATCAAAAAATCAGCCGGGCGTGGTAGCGCATGCCTGTAATTCCGGCTACTCGGAAGGCTGAGGCGGAAGGATCGCCGGAGCCCAGCAGGTCGAGGCTGCGGTGGCTGGGAGTGGCCCCTGCACTCCAGTCTGGGCGACAGAGTGAGACTCCAACCCCCCCCCCCAAAAAAATTGCCACATTTCACCAGTGCAAGAATGAATTTGTACAGTTACTATGGAAAAGACCTTGTCACTACTTGGAAAAGTCGAACACATGTATACCTTACCCTTATCAGGGAGACATCCTAGATAAATTATTGCATAAGTAGCCAAACAATGAGTACAAAAATCTTTTATGAAGTATTATTCAGAATCACAAAATTGAATAAAAACCCAAATGTAATCACTATAAGAATGCTAATTTGTCATATATTAATACAATGGAAGATTATATGGCAGCGAAAATACAAAATATAAACTGCTAAATATCATAATAAATGTTTGCTGAACAAAAAGTACGTTAAAGAAGAGCTGTGAAAATAAGAAACAGACAAAACTGAAACCCATATTGTCCTATATATTTCACAATATGAACAGAATTCGGGATAGTGATTTCCTCTCAGCAGAAGTGGACTAACACAATGTGATGGAGAAGGACAACCCAAGGGTCAGAAAAAGTAGTAGCAATGTTCTACCTTTCAGTTGAATGGTGGATTCATTTCTGTTTATTTAATTATTCTTTCATTAATACATTATATACACTGTATAATATACACACTGTATTATATCTTTATACTCTATTATAAAATAGTATAATATTTAGGTATAACTTAGATATAATAGTATAATATAATATTTTATAATATAGTGAATCTCAGATCTTCATGTTCAGTCTCTGTACAAAGTCACATTAAAAAATACACACACACAAACACACACACACAGTCAAAACAGCCCCAGATAACACTTTAAAAAATGGAATTTAAAGAAATATATGGCAGATTATGAAACAGTCTGTAGTCCATTATGAGGCCCTATCCTCACCTATGGTCATCCAAAGGCTTAGATCAATGCTCAGAGGATTCACTGTTAGCCTGAGAAAATAACTGATAATTGTGAAGCCTTTATCTTTATTGGTTTTCTTTCTTGATAAATAATTTCACACTCTCCTCAACCCTATGGAAATTTGAAATTTTTCAACAATGGACAGGAAACTCTTATTGCCAGGAGAGTGTTGAAATTGCAGGGATCTCAGGGCCAGAAGGTCTCCACCGCCTGCCACTCTATATTCTTGCCCCATGGGAACCTGCTCTAGGAGACATTTCCACCAGGTATCATCAGCTTTATCCAGATTTTTATCAGCCACTGTGCATTCAGTGGTGTTCTTGCTACAACGTCTCTAGAAGGCAATTCTCAACAGGATCCCCACTAAGCTTTCTAATAACCTCTCTAGTTATTTTATAGAATCAATTTGTCAAAGAATATAAATTGATATCTTACTAGATAGTGTGGTCAACCCCTCCCTACCTACCCTGAGATCAGACATAAATCCAAGGTTTATTACTGGGGCTGGTAGTGTCTCAGTTCCTGTACCAAAGACTTGGTAAATACCCCCAGTGAGAGAGAAGGATAATTCCTGAGCCATTTACATCTTAGTATAAGCAACCTGCACATTTTAACCTTTGAAACCTTCTCATGTGGCCTCCTGATTCTGGTAATTGGTATTTAGGAGACAATCCTTGCTTCTTCCCTCAGCATCTATTTTTGGGTTTACATACATAGTAACCTTTTAAGATAAAGAGGTCTTTTCCTTCCACAATACTCTAAATCACCCTAGTTTACTAATATTCTCTACACCTCCTCTAGCTTTTTCTTTCTTTTCTTATTATTATGATAAAGACCAGCAGAACCCCATGCTACACTTTGTTTACCTGGATTGCAGGACAAAGCTGGCACTGGAACCTTGTGGCATGTGGAAAGAAGGTATCCCACAGAGCAACCAAAGCGTGGGTGGGTCCCTAGTTCAAAAAATGACTAGTGTGGGTATTTGGTCATTAGGCAGAGATTTTGTGCGTCCTCTTCCTGAGCAGAGCAGGAGTCTTGCACTAAATAAGTTGCACTAAATAAGCTATGAACTAATGCTGAAGCAGTGTCTGAGCTGAGTAAGGACCAAATCTTTTTGACTGGCAAGGCAGAGAAAGAGAGCTATGTTGGCCCGGAAGGGCTCATATTAAAAAAGATGAGCTGACAAAGTCATCTCAGGGAATTTGGAGAGGTGAGAGAAACAAGTAGCTTTATAATATCAGAGTTACCTAAGAAAATCTAGTTTTTCTTTCTATTTCTAGAGTATGAATATTCCTCTACAGGATAGTTAAAAGAATATAAATGGGGTAAAAATATCGCCTCTGAAATCTTGTGTTTAAAATGTAAACATGGATACATGGTACACTGCATAGTACCTCTAACTTCTTTCTTGAGCCCTAAATTGGATTTGACCCTTTATAGGTCATTTAAACCATTATCTGTAGCTTCTTTCTAGACTGCCTTCCTTGTAATTTGGATTTTGTGAGTTTCACATTTAAAAATGTGGTGCTAACTTTTTTCAACCACTCTCACTTCTAGGATTAAAGCTGAAGATCTGATCATGGGAAATGCTAATGTGCCAACTTGAGAACATTGGTAGGGACCTAATGCTCTTGGAGTCAGGCCATGGTCTCGTAGCTGCAAAATACAGTTAATAGAATGCCAGTTTCCATCTAGTACAAGCAATCTGAGAAGGCTCCAAAGAATATGTGGTAAGGAGGACAGATAATATCTGCTATCAGAGAATAACTAAGTATCTGAAAGTAGAAAGGAGAGAATGTTATCTTTTAATGTTGTTTTCATAAATAGTTCTTGGAAAATTTAAAATGAATATTGTTAAAGGTCTGACTCTAAAATGGTACAAGGAAGTTCTGAAATCATAACTATATGTACATTAATGTGAATTTTATACTTTGTCCTTGAAATGAAATAATGTATAAGTAATCTGTTTCCAAGCTAACCAAGACATTCCTCCCCCCAAAATGAAGAAATGCTGGACTCACATTGGTGACATATTCGATATCCTTCCAAAGGATGCACTCCCTGGGGAAATCAGCCAAGTCTAGGAAGTGATCCACCACCACTTGGCCGATTAAGTCATGACGAGAGAACCTGTCAAAGTCGTACACAGAGAAGTGAAGCTTTCGTGCTTCAAGGTCATTGTAGGGAACTGGAAATAAAAATACTTCATCAAACACAGGGTTCAGGGTTTTTCTGTGAACTTTAGTCTGATGTTTTGTTTTCCGATCTGGAAGCAAATAGATCTTGACATAAGGATCTGAAGTCCCAGAAAAGTCCTTGGCGGGCAAATTGACAGCTTTGTGAATCTTCACCATGAGCTGCTCTAAGTCACAGTCATATTTTAAAATGAAGTTCAGTTTCCCACAAGCTTTGCTGTTATTCCTTCTCCCATCATCATTATCCAATGATCTCTGCTTATATAACTCCGGTTTAATTCTACCAATTCCAGTCAACTGTTCCTGTTTTTGAAGCTGCTGGATATTGAAGTCCGGGTTTGACAGGTTGAGTTGTCTTCGGATTGAATTATGCCTTGGATGAAGAGCAGGACAGAACAAAGTTATAACCTTATTAGCAATGAGTCTTTCAGAGACGTGTGCCTGGGATGTAGGTAGACTGTTACGTTCTTTTAAGAGCTTAGATATGTGGGCTTTTTTTTTTTTTTTTTGGCCTAAATTCAAAATGTTCATCAATGTGCGTAAGCTGTTCCCTAAGGCTTGAAGCTCAAATTGAAGTTTGGTATCAGGAAATGAACTTAGTAACATGTGACCTTGGAGCTTTAAAGGTTTAATGCACTTTCTAAACTATCTAATATGCCCTTAAAGAAGCTTATTCTGCGGATGAAATGTAAAGATTTGTATAAACTCCTTTAAAAATAAAATTATTCACCTTTATTAAATCATCCTGAAATTGAAATAGTTAGCTAAGTGTTGCCTTAAGAAGAACAAATCTTTTTCCTAAATTACACAGAATTTTCTATTACTGGCTTATAGCTTTATAAGAGTGTGAATTCTTACTGGTTCAAATTAAGTCATTTCATCAAAAGAACACAGTTTTTGCTCATGTAAAAATATATGTGACTAGGATGTGTCTGCTTGCAGTGGATCATGCTGACTGACAGGTGCAAGTGACAGCATTGGAATTCTGCTTTGGTTGTACCTGATTGGTGATCAAGGGGATGGATTTTAGTTCTGAAATAAACACTAATGTCATAAAAATTAAAGGCGAGCTACTATAAATCCATATAAATATCCTGCTAGTGAAGGTTGGATACTGGTATTTGCAAATTAAATGTTTGCCAATAGAGTCTATTTTTCACCATATAAGTTTATTGCTCTGGGTTAGAAGTTTTCCTAAAATTCTCTTTAAAATCTGTCTCATCTGTATGGGTCTTCATAGGTTGAGAGAAACAATCATTACATACAGGATTGTTTTTCAGGTTATTTTTGTTTATTTTTAGTTCGGAGTTCAGAATAATATTGTATTGTATACAGTCATTCAATGATCTTAAGTAAAGTAGCCTTTCTACTAAAAGGTAAAAGGGAACAGAGCTGACATGTCTCTGAGGGATTGATAAATAAATAGTTGGAGAGACAGAGTAAACACTTGAGCTTGCCTTCTATTCTTTTCTTAAGACTATTTTATGAAATAGAGATGTAAAAATGAAACTGAGACCGCAAAATGTGTTTTAAATTACTCTCCTTTTTCATCACAAATGTTGTCATGCTGAACATTCCTCTTCATCTGAAATAGCCTTCTGATCACTAATCACCCACCTGGTACAACAAGCACATTGTTACAGAACTATCACTTCTATCTGTCACACTCAACACAGTACATAGCAAGCAGACATGGTCTAGTCACATACATTTTCACATGTACAAAAACTGTGTGGTCTGAAAGTTGCTGCTGTGAGATTTTAAATTCTTATGGAAAAATTCACAATTTTTAGACTTCTCTGTATCTTATGACTGGGAATGGGAAAGGAAGGCAGGAGATGTTGTTAAGGGACTAAAACTGGCTCTCTACTCCAGTATAACCAAACTGTTTTCTTATCAAGAGGTGGAACCATTGCAGTGTTAGAATAGAGCTTGAATCTCACTCTATTGACTCTGTTTCCCTCTGCTATTAATTTTTCTTTGCAGGCTAAATTCAAAAAAGGTACACAATTTGGTCTAGCATCATTTCCCATCATTCTGGCTGAGGACTACTTAGTGGAACCTCTTAGTGGGACTAAGTAGTGAAGACAAGTGTAGACTATTCTGGGTGTTGTCTAGTTGATGGTGTTGTTTACATGATACAAGTACACTCTCAAGAACCCCTGGATGCTCCTTCTCCAGATCAGAGTCTGTAGTGGAACAAAATTCCTGTGCCTACACACAGCCCCAGACAACAATCCTGTGTTTCTACATTCAGTCCTAGGCCCTGACACTCCCCAAGTGATTGCTAGACAGATGCTGTGCATAACAATCTACCTTTGAGTTTTCTGAATACTGGCTTTAGATTCATCACAGCAACATTTTGTCTTTACCCATGTCTATGAGACTAAATCTACCCTATACATTTTAATTTTAAAATATATGAGTTTGGTTACTTAGTAGTGAGACATAGTCTGTTTTACTTGTACTTTTTTTAGAAATGAAATCTGAAGAGAAATTAGTCCTCCATGCTTGGCTCTTCCTAACCACAATGGATTGCCAGCGGGTACAGGGGGCAGCTGGGGAGGGTATTATGAAGTGATTTGTACTTCAAACAACAAAACAAGATTCCATTTCCTGAGAATACAATTGCACAGGAATCTCTTTACAAAATTCCAATACAGCCAAAGATTCTTCTTAAAAACCAATCACAGATATGAATACTATTATCTACTCAAATATCTTACATAATTAATTTCATTCCCAGCACCTCCCCCTCCCCATTCAGCATCACACTTACTACTGGGAAATCAGTTGAATCTAACGGTAAGGTAGTGGCTTAAAGCAGACAGCAAAGACCATAACAGGGCATGACAGTTTCTCACTCCCTGGGGCTCCCTTTCAATTGCTTTCAATTTCCTTTCCGGAAGGAGTTAGAATTTACTCGAGTTGGAAGAGAGGGGCAGTAGAATAGAGAAACTCAGAACAACCAGAGAACCAGGGTAACTCAAAACCTCCCTGCATAACCTCTGGAGCTCTGGGGGCTGAAAATGAGAAAGTAGAGCAGGGAAGCTGTACTAGAGACATGGAGGAGAAGATGTGGTGGAGGAAATGGAAAATCAATATTCTATAGCTCTCATAGGCACTCAGATGATGGTGGGAAGAAAAAGCAACTCCAAAGCCATAGAAAGAAAATACGGAACAGTGTTATCACCTGAGCTCTTCTCACCCAAGATGAGGTAGTTCTAGATGGCTAATGGCGGTGATCTTTGAGTACAGTAAATAAGATGCTCCCAGGGAAAGGATCTAGCATTTTAAAGCCACTGAGTGACATTGATTATGGTATTGAAGGAAGGGTGGCAAGGAGAGATCTCTGTCTGAAGCAGACTGTCCTCTGGGTAAGTTTGGGGAATCCTGTATCTTGGTGATCTCAGGATTTAATGTGCACAATGAATGGAAAGAGGAGAAAGTGGACCCTAAGGACAGAGGGTGAGAAGGAAAATTGAGAGGTAGTCTCATCTGTAAATAAATCATACTCTAAGGTTGTTGCAGAGAGGCTGGCTGCTGGGATTGAAACTCTCAGCTTCCTCCAACTCCCATTCTCTCTCAAGATGGGCCAAGTCTGTTTTCTGCTGTGGAAGACATGAGAAAGAGAACTTAAAGCTTGGATTTGTCTACCCTAGATCTGAGTTGGAAGACTGGTGGCTTAGCCTGAAGAAAGTGTGAGTTCAAAGATAATTAACAAAATTTGTAAAGTAGATTTCCTACAACAAACTCAAAAAACACATTTTTGTGTCTGAAGGAAGCTTAGCTAAGTGCTGAGCAGTAACCATAGGTCAGGAAGGGACAGAAGCCAAGAGGCTAAGAGGATTTTCCTCTTTTCCTTAAAAGTAAATTAATGAGTGCCAGCACTAGGTTCAGTCACTAAACCATCACTCAAAAAGTGAAGTATGTCCATCAGATCTTAATATAGAGGACATTACTGTAATTCAACAAATTTGAATGTATAAAGCAAGGTGTCAAGTGAGTGGAAGGTGCACAGAGGCAAAATGTTATTACTACCTTGAAGGAAATGACAGGTGATGAGATGGTTCCCTCATAACTATAAAGCATGGCAGAGAAGGATAAATACCAGAGGTCAGAGAGCCCACAATCTAGAGAGAGAGAAAGAATGGCCTCTGGTTCAGGAAGTTTTCATGAAGAAGATATTACTTGAGCAGTGCTTGTCTGCCTAACTTGGCCTCATCCTTACACACCTCCAAGCTGATGCTTGGACATTAATTCAACTTTTGTCTTGTCCCACCTCTTTAGACAGATGGGACCTTCAGTTCTTCTGCCCTAGCAACTTTATCCAGAGTCTCTATGTATGCCTGCCATATATTTAATTCCAGACTCCCTAGGAGCCAGTGTTAGATTCCCCAGAATTCCTTTCATCTTAGTGTTTCCTGTGCAGCCATAGGCAAGTGCACATGCATCTATGCTTCCTTACCTCAGTGGCCCCATCTCAGAGGTGACATTTGACCTGTTCTTTTCCTGGTTCTGGGACACTTATGTTGACCAGGCTTCAGAGTTCAAAAGAGGAAAGAGATAAGAAAACTGTGGTTTCAGAACCATCATTGTTTTCTTTTCTCCTGTATTTAAGTCAAGGCAGGGAAATATGGAAACAGTTGAGACAGGACCTTGTTTTCCTTCTTTGAAACTCCCTCAGTGATGGAGAAGAGAGAATTGGGTTGTTCTGAACCATAGGCAGACACAGAAGAAGAGAAAATCGTGAACAGTTAACAGACAAGGACAGGAGGAAGCAGAAATATGAGGCTTTCTTAGCTTGCAATTTAAGGACTTCTAAGAAGAATGATAGTAAAGATGTAAGCATCAGGCCTTGGGGCCGGTCAAGGTGTGTAGTCAAGTGTAGTTGAATACAATGATGAATAATCAACTTCCTTCCACTCACTCTCAAGTTAAGCAAGTTTGAAACCTTAGTGTCACCTTTAGTCATAAATACTTTATCCCCCGTAACCAAGATAAGCCTTTGCTCACCAACACTTTCTCTAAAGTAACTCACACCATAAGTCTCCTTTAATTCCCATTACTCCTGAGTTCAGGCCCTTATCATTGCAGGGCAGAACTGGCCCCCTGAGTCCAGTCTTCATCCTTGCTCTATGCATTTTATGCATCTTACACACTTCAATACATGTATTGGTGTTATTGTTGTGGGTCTTTTGAGGGCAGGACTGTATCCTTTTTCTCTGTTTATTACCATCACCTAATATGGAATTTTACACATAGCAAATGATTAATACTTGTATCTACAGTAAACGTATGAGTGTGATGGACATATATAGTTTGTGATAATTAAATCCGAGTAGAGAAAAGACTCACTTACATCTACTTTCAGGGTCTCACTGAAGTTGAGACAGGTCTAGAGTATTTACTCTTTTGATGCAGTCAGTTTATTAATTTCTGAAGAAATAACCACAACTCAAAAATTATTATGTTTTGGATGTTTGCATCTAATCAATGTTTTCAACACACAAAAACATGGCTTAATAGAAATGTGCTACTCATTGAGTAATTGTAACATCTAATTTTGAGGTACTACTTATTGGAGTTGTGGCCATTAATGGTATCCAAATTTAAAGTGTGATTATTACTTTCTTCTTTCAATTCTGTCAGTATATCTCTGCCAGAATATCTCTGTGACTCTATGGATTTCTTAATTCAGAGATAAGGTAAAAAACCAAATATGAAATTCTTAGTGAATGTGAGGGCTGGGACAAATGGCCTTCCACTATCCTCATACCATTACAGGTCACACTTGGTTTGTACTTCTGGTTCCTTGCCATTTTTGTCAACAGAACAAGAGGAAAGTGACCTGATATTGACCAACATATTCTGTCAGTCAGTCATATAAAAAAAAGTCTTCTATATGCTAGGAGCTGCACTAGGGGCTGGATACACAGGGAGGTGGGGAAAAAAACCAAATATGGTCTCTGGGTTCACAGAATCCAGTCTAGAGTGGAGTATAGGCAATAAACAATCAGTTAGAAATAGAGTTTAATCTTGTGATGTGAAAACAAGACAGCATGAAAGAGAATTAAGAGTGGGAAGACGTAGAGGACAGAACATAGACTGTGGTGGTCAGGGAGACCTTTCTGAACAGGTGTTGTTTCATCTAGGACTTTAAGATTGCAAAGGAGCCAAAATAGGCAAAGTAAAAGGAAATGTATTCCTGGATGAGGGGACAATATGTGTGAAGGCCTCAAGATAAGAAAAGGTTTGGGATACCAAAGGAACTAAGAGAGAGTCTCCCAGCACTTTGGGAGGCCGAGGTGAGAGGATTGCCTGAGCATATGGGTTCAGGACCAGCCTGGGCAACTTGGCAAGACCTCATCTCTACAATAAATCAAAAAATTAGCCAGACGTGGTGGTACATGCCTGTAGTCCCAGCTACTTGGAAGGCTGAGGCGGAAGGATCGCCTGATCCTAGTGGGTCAAGGCTGCGGTGGCAGTGAGCGTGCCACTGCACTCCAGCCTGGGTGACAGACTGAGACTCCAACTCAAAAAAAAAAAGAGAGAGGCTGTTGTAGCTGGAATACAATGAGCTTTTTCCAGGTAAAATCTCCTACTGAGTCCTCGTCAACAGTATTCCTAGGGGTTGTGTAACATGGTGGCCCGGGTTAGGAGGTGAGGTTGTTTTGAAGCAGACTGTGGCAACATCATGTAGAAACTTAAAAACCTGATAAGTAGTTTGTGGTATGGTAATTGAAATTTTCATAAGACCAAAGTGTTACATAAGAAATTTGAGAAGGCTTAAAAAAACAGGATGAACTTTCTTCTTGGGACACGGATCAGGAAATGGATTAGATGGCCTTTCAAGGTTCCTTCTATTTTGGGGATCCAGGGATTTTCATACATTTGGAGTAGAAAACTTTATAAAGCTCTGGTATTGAAACATTCTGAGAAAATTAAAACATCCACATTCCCAGCATATTGGGTCATTATACAAAAGGGATTTCATCCAAATCAAAAAGAATTAACAGGAATTTTGGAAGGCTCTAATAGTCATTGAACTAACTAGATACAGAATCCTAACACGCTTGATCTTGAAAGAAAAACAGAAAGTCATTCTGACCAGAAACATTCTTAGAAGATAAAACAGAGCTCATGTTTGGGTTGTTCCAAAAAGGCAATGGTGTTAGCCAAACATATCCAAGCTGAACAGTCCAGGGGAGAGTGAGATTTCTGATGTAAATGCTATGACAGAAGCATTGCCAACTTCAGTGATAATGAGGATGACTTTAAATAGGAGGTTACATCTTGTGTGCACTGGGAACCCTGGGACAGTGATAACAGCTAGAGAATGGAAGCAATAAGAAAGACAGTGTCAGCAGGGAGAAAGCAAAGAACATAATGAGAAAGAAGGGAGAAGAAATAATAACTGGAAAAGTAGACTTTTTAGAGCCATCTCAGCAGAGTACACATCCCTCCCCAAATATGGTATCAAAAAAATGTAACCTAAAAAAGAATGTTAAAAATGCTTTGGAGCATGAAGGAAATTTCACTCTATTTTTTCAGTAAAAAGGTTTTGTGTGTGTGTGTGTGTGTGTGTGTGTGTGTGTGTGTGTGTGTGTTTTCTTGTAATGCAATACAATCTAAATAATTAGATGACTATACACTACTCTTATTATAGTGAGACCATGAGACAAAGATATGTATTTCCAGACAGAGCCCATAAAACTAGGTCAGTAGTAATTTAGGTATGAATGCTTTAAATGCATAATGATACAAATTGTCAGTATTAGGTCAAATGGAAAGGGTTTAGTCTTCTTGTATTCTTATGGTAGTCCAGATATTACTAAATCTTATTTTTGCTATCAGAAAAAACAATTTAATTGCATGCCTCAAAGATTAAATTAAATCATAAATCTGAATGTAAAATGCATCTTACAGGGGTAATTCCTTTGCTCTCTTCTTTTATTTTTTTTCCTTCTACCCAATTTCTACAAATCAGTGATGAAGATAACCACAGGCTTGCATTTTTAAACAAATACTTGATACTCAGAGTATTTATACATTTTCCTAGTACTAATATTGTGTTAATTTTAGTGACATCATTACTATAAATGTGTTAGAATTATGGGAGAGTTCTTAGGTCAAATCTAATAAAATCACAGTACTAGAGGAGCCCAGACCAGAAAAGTTACATGCAGAGTAGAACCAAACAGGAGACAATTTCAATGGAAATTTTAATAGAGACTTCATCTAAGAGGCTCTAGCTATTGAAGTACTAAAAGTGTTTTATTATGAATCTGCACATTGCATGAACTCCATGATAACATCAAACAGAGCTCTAGCTGTATTTAAGTCTTAAATCAGAAGAGAAATCCTAGTGATAAAATCTGAGGATTTCTTCAAAATCAAATGGCAAACAACTACCCATCCACAGAGGACTATTTTAGGTTGAGTTCGTTGATTCAGAATTGGAAATGATGCTAAAATAGGTTTCTGAAAAAAATTTAAATTATAAACTGTCTTATTCCATCCCACTTAATGCGAATGAGTGGAGCCTCTAGGATAAACCTGATTAGCATAAAAACGGGTAAAATCTTATTTCTGTTTTGGAGAAAAAATAAAAAAAGATTAAAAACATTACTTCCAAACTGTGCTTGTACTTTCCAAATAACAGCACATGCTAGTCCTCTTGCCATTGCTCAGACAAATATTTTTATTCTAAAAAAAGCTGCTTCCTGAGTTTCTTTTCCTGAAATCTCACTGAAAATGGGTTTTTATATCCAGTTATTTAGAACTGGCTGTTTAGCCTCAAACATACTTTCATGTAATGTCTGAAGCTTGGGAGAGGCTATGCTAGCAAAATGGCAGCTCACATCTTAGAGCATGTGCAAGGTGCAGACTTGTGCAAACACATGTTATCATCTCATTCTTAAAACCACCAATCAGTCAGTACTATTACTATTCCTCTTTTACAGAAGAGGAAATGGACACATATGAAGGTTAAGCAATTGTTCAGTGTCACAGTTCATTGTCATTTATTCAATGAACTGAATAAGGCCAGTTCATTTGACCTCAGAGATTGCACTTTTTATCACTGCACTACATTATTTCTCTACCGCTTAAGAGTACAAAGCATCCAGACAATGGAAAGAAAGTGGCCCTGGACCTGGGTACTCTATAGGCCTCCCAAAGGACAAAGACCTCCCCCCACACTGGAGAGTCTGAAGAGTGCCTGTCTGCGATCGCTAGACTAGGTCAGAGTCACAGGGAATAAATTATACAACACTAGAATGGAAACAGGGAAAAATGGTTAGAAGCTCAGATTCCTATGTTGGTTGAACCAGAGTTCAAATTCTGACCTGGGTGTTTATTAATATTTGACTTTATTATTTAATCTTGACTGAGCTTCTTCTACTGTAAAATGAAAATGATAATAGAGTCCATCTCATAGTAAGCTGTGAACTATAATAAAATAGTGCATATAAAGTTCTCATAGAGTATTTGACACATGGTAAGTCTTAATCATTTTAAGTATTATTTGTATGGACTAAGCAAAGACTAAGCAGAGCTCAGGAACCTAACTTCAGCATAGAAAGCATATAGTTTTCCCGTATTCATGTCTCTGACACCTAACAGACACCTAAAAGGTTAAATACTCCTTGACCAATCAATGTGATTGCTTCCAGAGAGGGGAAATGAGTGGTCCATGCCTTACATTCAGAAAGAAGGGGACATTACTGACCGAGCCGATGAGGCTGGCTCTGTGACTTGGCGCTGCATGCGGCCTCCATGAGCACAGTTCTCCTGGACCCCCGGCTGGGTCGAGAGGGGAATATCAGGGGAGGTGTGGCTGATCTTCATGGAGGAGTCAGGGCAGGGGGTGGGAGGGTCTAGGAAGTCCTCACTGTTCTCCTGCTCATTGGTCTCTGTGTCCATGTAGTTAAGAGGCTCCTGGTTGTTGTCTTTGCTACCAGAGGGCAGGCCTCGTTCTCGCCATGGAACCCAGCAGAGTTTCCAAGACACGAAGAGAGACACGCCAAAGAGAGCGAGACCACAGGCAGTGACCACAAGGGTCAGCAGGCTCACCGAGATATCTGAAAAGAAGCAAAGATAAAAGGTCAGTGTGATCCTTCCCCTCACGCCCACCCATTGCATGGTGCGGGCAGAATGACCCAGTCATCCATTCATCCTTCAAGAGCTGACTGCAGGAGGCTGGGCTGGGGCATGCCACTGGGTTGCCTGATTCTGGAGCAGTGACAATGAGCATTCAGACACAAATGAGAAGACCAATGAGAAAAAGCACAGAAGAGGTAACACAATATACAGGACTTGTTGAGAAACAGCAAGCAGCCTGCTATAGAAGGAATGGGGCATATTCACAGAAACTAGGAATGTCCTGCAAGTCAAATAAGACCCTATCCTCCAGGCTGTACAAATCACTAATGCTTTTTGAGCAGGGAAGTTTCAATTGTTCTTAAAAATTGCTCTTGTCGGCCGGCCAGGCTCGGTGACTCAGCCTGTAATCCCAGCACTTTGGGAGGCCGAGGTGAGTGGATTGCCTGAGCCTGGGGGTTCGAGACCAGCCTGGCAACTTGGTGAGACCTCGTCTCTACAACAAATCAAAAATTAGCTGGGCATTGTGGCGCACGCCTGTGGTTCTAGTTACTTGGAAGGTTGAGGCAGAAGGATCACCTGAGCCCGGCAAGCCAATACTGGGGTGACCATGGGCATGCCACTGCACTCCAGTTTGGATGACAGAGTGGCACTCCAACTAAAAAAAAAAATTACTTTTGTCATCTCAGAGAGCTATATAATTTGGGAACTGTTTAAGTCAGAACTTTTTAAAACAGGAGAAACTAGAGTACTTTTTTTTTCTACGTTTGCTATTAACGTTTAAGGCTCTATGCAAAATGAAGCTCAAATCTTCTGTGGATTTTACAGTCTCAAGAATGCCGACCATTCAGTGGTTGGGTCCTCAGGACCCAGGGCAGGCTGCTGTATTTTGAATTTCTCCAGTATCAGACCCTAAGGCAAGTATTCAGGGACAAATGGTTAATTTAGTAGGAGAAGGAAATACAGGTAGAGCAAGTCTGAAAGTGATCCAGAGGAAGAAGATGGTACAATAAAGGGTGCATTATTAGTCCTATAGTGGAAGTGTAGAGGCTAAGCCTGCTGGGAAGCTTCATATACCTCAGAGTTACCCAATCCAAGGGGCAGGGGTTCGAGCTATTTGCACTTCAGCTCCCTTGAGTCACTGATTTTAGGGCAATTCCCAAAGAGCATTAAATCCCTGGTGTTTGCAACCTGCAGTACAGGTGAGTAAAGTAAGCCTCACTGGCTAGAAAAATCCATCAGAATCAATGCAAAGGCTGCATTGGAGGTCAACAGGCACACACTGAAGTGTTAAGGGGACAGGGCAGGTAATGACATCATCTGCTACCTGGACCATGGACCACAGCCCCATGGCTTCAGGAGTGTCTGTGGCAGTGCAGTATCCAATGGTTATGCTCCTAAGGTTCAAAAGAGCCCAGTCCCCTCCAGACTTCCGTCTCACCTTACCGTTGAGCCAGGGAGGCTGTGGCATCAATCTGAACGCATTTCTGGCAGTATGGCAGCTGTAAACTCTTTATTTTAAAGAACACTCCTTCCTGTCCTTACTGAGTTTTCCTGAACTCAGGATTCCCAAAGATTTTCCCCTGGTTTTGCCTCTACTGTTTATCATTAGTATTTGCATTGATTCTATCAGTTTTCTGAATGCCAGGGGAAAATCTTTGGGCCTACAACATGCCAGGTGCTATGCTAGGCTTTAGCAATACAATGAAGAATATGACAGACACACTATGCATCTTCACAGACTCATATTCTAATTAATGAGGAAATTAAAAGCTAGTCATTGATTACTTACAATGTCAACTATCCACAGCAATGCCACCATCCTGTTATCTGTGATGAGTTGTGTTTCTGCTGAGGCATGCGAGAGAACCCCTCCTACAAGTCACTTACTGAGTCAAGCTAAATAACTACACCATGTGCTTTTCAGTATGACTCTGGAGGTACTTGATCATTCTTAAGAAATGATAAAATTGTTTCTTCATCAAAAACTTCTCTTGGAAGAAAGCCTGCTTCCAGGATCGGTGGTGAATCTGATGTAGCTTTTCTATGCCGCCCAACCAATCTGTGACTTTGTGGAAAAACAATATTATGTCTCTGAAAATACTGGGGTTCCAGTTTCAATAGGGACAACTGAGTTTAAATCTTTTTCACTTTTGTCTAGTCAAATCCCATTCAAATGAGATAAACAATGGAAAACAAGGAAATTTATCATCTATCTATCAATGAACCAGTAACTTTGAGGAATTTCTGGAATTGTTTGAAAGGAAAAGTCAACCAGTGTTGAATACAACACAGGCAAATGAAGGGAGACTACTGGAAAATAAAAATCCCAGGTACAGAGCAACAAGGACAGGGAGAGAGGAGAGAGAGTGAAGCCAGGAGGGGCAAAGTAAAAGGGGCTAGAAACCACACTTCACAGAGTCCCAGCATGAGGTGGAGGGGAGCATGGTTTGGCCCCAGACTCCACTTGGTTCTGGCTGCTCACACAGTAAAGTGGAGGATTTGCTGGTGCAGACTGAGTGGTAGTGCTAGAGGCCCAGGGAGGAGAGGATACTGTCCCAGTAATCAGGCTTCAAACAGCAATTCCCAGTCCCTCCAATAGAATCTAAATATAAAACAGGCTTTACACAACAGTGAAATCCCTTAATATATTCTGTAATCCAAATGGAGCAAAGCATCTTTCCTATATCTTGCTAATCACTTCAGTTCTGTCCTGACACAGACACCGCTAGGAGACCACCAGCAAAGGATACAGGAGGGGCACACTGAGAGGCCATGGGGTTCAGGAGTGTGATGTGACAGCTGTATTATTAGTCACCAAATAGTTACTCTCCCCTACCACAGCTCTCCCTTGAAAGGGAGCAGCATAAATCCCAATCCCCTGGTGTTGGTCTTGGCCGTATGACTTGCTCTAGCCAATGAAGCATGAGTGGAAATGGCCCATGCCACCTCAGAGCAGAGAATTCTTGTGGTCCACCTTCTGCATAAGAAGAGCTCTCAGATAAGAGCTGATCTTGCATTTTTGCTGCCATAATGAGAAAACTTGTGTCACTGGCCCAAAGTCCTGCATGAGAAATAAACTTAAATGTGACTGACTGCCTGGGGCAGAACTGCAGTTGACCCACAGACCTATCAGTAAAACCTAAATATTTGGTGTTTTAAGTTACTAGGATTTCAAGGGAATTTGTTGTCATAGGAAAAAAAGTTGACTAATATATGTGACCATAGAATTTACTGTTTGAATTTGGGACACTCTTAAGCAGGAGAAGGGGTAAAATGAATAACTATCTGGAGATAAGATGCTTAACCCAGAATTGTCTAGGCAAAACTAGGATACAGGTTCATCATGGACTTCAGATCTCACCGAACTCATCAGCTAAGTACGACATGACCTCTCAAGAATCACTTGGTATAGACAGCAATGCTAAGTAAGTTGAAAACCTGACTCACTTTTACTAGTAATCATAGGACCTCTGGCCCAGCTCAAGAACAATTCCAGCTTGTTAGTTAATGACCAGCTCTTACACTCAAAAAAACAGCTTGCTCAGAAGTTCAGTCATGGAGGATTCATGAAAGCAGAAATCTTGTTCTCAACATTGAATGCCAAGAACATGAAAGAATATCTGGCACAAAGTAGGTATTCAGGAAAGAATTAAGCCCACTTGAGGAGCCCTCTACCACCTGCTATGTCTACCTTGAATTATGACTATATAGGTTATGGCCTGTAAACTCTAGGGGCACCAGTCACATTCACAGTCATTATAGATTTTTGTGCATATAGTTATTACAAAAAAGTTCTGGCAAATGGTAAGAGTGGCTTTTTCTGATTTACACAAAGGTAACATATGAGTTAACAGTAACCTAGGGAATGCCTTTGGAAGAGACCACAACTAAGCTAAATTGTTTGGATTTCTGTTTACAAATAGTTCAGCATATCTTCTTGGATTTACTTTTACTTTTACATTTACTTTTCTCTCTTTTTTTTCAGGAAGATGTGCTAGAAAACTACTTTGGAATTGCTAAGGCCATACTTCCCACCTTGTACCAAAGAACTCAGAAAATAAAAAAGGAGCAATTAGGTTAGAATCACAAAATGTTTCTTAAGTTGTAGTAGGAACATGGCCATTTGTTTTATTATTAACTTTTAATAAATTCACTATATATACTCTTTATCATTTATGGCATATGCCATTATAAAATTTTTTTTAAATGACATTAAAAAATAATCATGAAATAGCAACAGCATAATTAGTCATTTTGTCCAAGGGTCAAAGTAATAACCAGATGGCCATACACTCAAGTATAAAAGGAGGCAAATGACAAACCAGTTCTGATCCAGATCCCTGGAGGTATTGCTGCTTTGGAGATGACTGTGTATGAAACTATACCCAGAGCTGTCTTGGTGTGTATTCTTCCCAGGTAAGATACAGATTAGAATGCCCTGCAATCAATTCTTTTGTTAAAAACTTCCTCTACAGGTTATTATCCCTAGCCATAGGACGCAAGTATTGCAGCAACATCCATGCACATACACATATCATGACACTTCTGTACTCAGCAGACATCTCAACTGGACACCTATGGACTTGTTTCAAAGTGGCAATGACTACTGGCCAAAAAGTGAAAAGCTTAAGCACAAACACTCATATGGATGAGGAAAATTAGTTGTCCTTCTAAATTATGAAGGGTTAGGAAGAACACATGAACAAACAAAACAAAAAAGAAAAAAAGAAAAGAAAAGTCATGAGACACTTGAGCAAATAAGAAGCTCAAAGAGGGTAACCAAGTTGAGCCATCTGAATAAATGGCCCTAATGTGAAAAAAATTGCAGTAATGCAAGATGAAAATTAATTCGTGTACTGAGACTTAGAAAATAGAAACTGAGAAAGAGAATAATGGTTACAGCAGAAACCAGAAAAAGACACCCTTGAGATCTCATCTTATCTAGAAGTAAAATAACATGATTGCTGAAACAAAAGTA